TTTGGTTTGTTTAAATAATTCAAATAACTTGCTTTAGTTTATACGACTGGTGTGTAGCAGGAAATATAGTACTTCAAAAATATAAAGGGGGGTGGGGTAGGGTGGGGAGGCAGCAGGGTTTGACACTGTTTTGTTTGGACATGTGAGCAGGTAAACTGCCTTTGCTTTATTTTATTGGGCTTAATGCTATTTTTTTTTCTTCTGAAAAAAAAAACAACAGATGGAGATATTTATGGATACATCTTTTTTTTTTTTTTTTTTGTCTGTTTCAGAAATCCCAAACAAAGGTTGAATATGTTAGGACCATGGGGTTTTGAACTTAGGGTGGCCAGGCCAGCAGATAGAGGCTGGTTCCTCAGCACCACCACACAGCTGGCTAGATGCCCAGCCCAGCCCACCTTACATTGTTTCCTCCCAAGAACACATTATTAAAGAGTCAAATGACATGGGGGAATCTATAGGCACTGTGAGCCCCTGACAGGAGGGCTATAAAAGCCCTCCTATTTCCTGTGGGGCTTGTCCTAGCAACATTGCTTACGTGTTTGCGCTTTGGACTTCTGCCTTGCCACAGTCCCTGCCCCTGCTCTGTTTGGACCTTCTGGTTCTGGTCTACCATTCTTCCTGACCATAATGTTGTCTCAATTCTTGGCCTGAAGATACAGACTGACTGATAAGTGATACTAACTGGTGTGACCCCAGCCTGCCTAGGGTAATTTGCTGAGTGACCACATGCAACCCAGTCAATCTTGTCATAATGGGTATTTGAGGTGTGTAGGACCCACCCAAAACATTATCGTGTAATGTACCCACAGATAGGAGTCTTCCCACTGACTTCAATAGTCTTTGCATTGGGATCATAATGCTTCCTGAAGTATATAGCTAGGGTGGGTAACCTATGGAAATTGTGTGGTAGTGAAAGAGAGGAATCTTCCTTTTTAAAGACCCCTTTAATTAAATAAGTGGAGCAATGGCACAGTACGTTCACCACTGCTCAAGCCTTTGTGCAGCAGGCCCAGTGGCTTCTTTGAATAGGAAAGTTGTGCTGAGAATACACCAAAGACGTGAATGTAAAGCCATGCAGTCTCCTTTGGCATGTTCTTATTTTGCTTTGATAATGACTCTTGTTGGTTTGCCTTCAGTTACTTGGTAATAGGCTTAAGTTGCATGGAAAGAAATGCAATAAATTGAACTTGTATTTCCAGTCACTCTTAAATGGAAATACATGTGGTGGTAACTTTGTATATGCTTAAGTAAATTATTTTTTAAAAAACAATGCTTTTGTCTTTGTGACGGGGCAGATGAACCTTCCACTGATAAAGGCGTGTTTAACGATGGTCTCTGAGCTAGCTCACCTTCTGTATACTGTCAACCCCTGAGTGGTCTGAGAAAAGAAAGTAAAGAGAAGTTACCTGTCCAGATTCTGCCTCATCTGTCAGCTCTTCTCTCTCTCATTAGTCAAGCAGTCCTTTCTGGAAGAAATCTGAATTGGAGCATCCTGGCCAGCTGAAGTTAAGAGTGGATGCCTGGGTATTCACCTAATCATTCTGGAACAGTTCTATGTAGATAGTCCTAATTACATAAACACCTTTCTCTACATAGAGGCAATGGACAATAGATTTATGTATTCATGAATGTACTTTCTTCCTACTTCCCTTATCTTAACCCATCCCTTACTTTTTTGTGATAGCATGTTGGAGACAATGAGTAGTACCCTACAGAAAAGCAGGGCCCTGTAGAGTACAGCTAGTACATGCTCAAACTGTCAGCCATATCCCATCTCTGTGCTTCTCCTCAGGCAGTGAAATTGAATCTGATCTTCTGCACCTGAGGATTCTGGGAGAGGAGCATTATTTACCCCTTATAAAAAAAAATCAGAACAAAGAATCAGTCTTAGCAATAAAATACACAAAGCGAAGCTGGGATTCTGCAAGTGCAAAGCAACACTTATACCTGCATGTGATTGTATAGAGCTGAGTGGTATTGCATATGTGCATATGTAATATTCAAAATAAATATTGGAGAATTGGACTCCACGGCAGGTAAAAACTGTGTAGGTAATGTCCTAATATGAATCAAAGTGTGAATATTGAACCTAGCATAGTAAATTAAAACTTAATACAAAAATGCTGCATGGGAATTTTTGCTAGCGGGCATGTGTGTGCACTTGTGTGCACATGTATATGTGTGTTCACATGCTTGTGTGTTTTCTATAGTAAAGATATTGTTGCCTAGGTGAACTACACCACTGCAATCCAACAACTTTGATCAAGGAACAATATACATATAGACTTGCTCACTAACTTGGTATTCCATGAAGTTTTAGTCATGGAAATTGTTCTCAAAATTTATATTTTTAAGAGTTCAGGCTCCTGTTTTGTTTGCTTGTCAAAACAGTATATTGATTTATGTAAACACTTGTGCAACAACATATGTTCAAATATGCACCAAAGTATAATCTTATATTAGCAGGTGCCAGTATTTGCATCACAAGTGTGCCACATGTACATTCTTTTCACAGATGAAGACAGAAAATCCAGGGTCTACTTGTGTGTATGAGATTTATTACAGTAATGTGATGGAATAAATGGGCCGATAGTCCAAGGTGTTAATGTAACCCTGTCACTGCACAACATTAAAAAATGCTAAGTACAGAAACTTCAGCCTGGGTAGTCTCAAGACAATATCACCATCCCTTTTAAAAAATGTTTATTTAATATTTCGTATTTAAAAAGGAAGCATTTGAAACATAGCATCAAGCAAAGCTCTTATTTTAACAATATTTGTCATTGCCTTTCCCTTTAGCTGTAGAGAGTTTTTATAAGGCAAGGGGGAAGTTTTGGGTCAGAGTTTCTCTCTATTTTAGATTGCACTAACTGCCCTTTTTCCCCCTAGAAAAGACTGAGACACCTAGACCTCCTGCTGCTGAAGTCTGATTCTGTCTCCTTGAAGACAAAAAGCAAACACACCAAAGAAAAGGGGAAAAACAGTAAAGATGAGCAATGCAGCCTCTGTTACTGATGATCATTTTTGCTTGTGGCTTTGTTCCTAGGGAGTGTTTACCAGCCCTGGTAAAATCTGTGTGCAAGGAAGGAGCCCCGCAGGAGGCACTTGCCTGCCTGTACACTAATGCCAGGAGCTTGGGGAATAAGCAGGAGGAGCTCATCCTCCTGCTCAGTGCAAACAATTACGATGTCATAGGGATAACGGAGACCTGGTGGGACTCCACCCATTACTGGACCACGGGGATAGATGGCTATCCCCTGTACCGGAGGGATCATGTAGAGAAAAGGGGCGGG